CGCACTCTCTCTCTCTGTCTGTCTCATAAATGCACTCTCTCTCTCTCTCTCTGTATTTCTCGTGCACTCTCTCTCTCACTCTCTCTCTGTATTTCTCGTGCACTCTCTCTCTCAGTCTGTCCTGTACACTCTCTCTCGCTCTCGGTCTGTCTTGTGCTCTCTCTCTCTCCCAGTCTGTCTTGTACACACTCTCTCTCTCTGTCTTTCTCGTACACTCTCTCTCAGACGGTCTTTCTTGTGCACTCTCTCACTACCCCATCCCTCCCCATCTTGGTCCAGCTCTCTCTCTCTTTCACCCCTCAGTCTTGGTCCAGGTCTGTCACACTCTCTCTCTCTCTGTCTGTCTCATAAACGCACTCTCTCTTTCTCTCTCTCTCTCAGTATTTCTCGTGCACTCGCTCTCTCTCTATCACTCTCAGTCAGTCTTTCTCGTGCACTCTCTCTCTCTTGCTCTCGGTCTGTCTTGCGCGCTCTCTCTCTCTCCCAGTCTGTCTTGTACACACTCTCTCTCTCTGTCTTTCTCGTACACGCTCTCTCATTCTCTCTCACGGTCTTTCTTGTGCACTCTCTCACCACCCCCTCCCTCCCCATTTTGGTCCAGCTCTCTCTCTCTTTCACCCTTCAGTCTTGGTCCAGGTCTGTCACGCTCTCTCTCTCTGTCTGTCTCATAAACGCACTCTCTCTCTCTCTCGTGCACTCTCTCTCTCAGTCTGTCTTGTACAGTCTCTCTCTCTCTCTCACTCAGTCTTTCTCGTGCACTCACTCTCTCTCTCGCACTCAGTCTGTCTCGTACTCTCTCTCTCTCGGTCTGTCTTGTACACACACACACTCTCTCTCTCACACTCTGTCTCTGTCTCGGTCTCTCTCGCAGACTGTGGCGGTTTGTCCCACTCCTTTCTGTCCTGGCTGTGGGTTGAAATAGAGAGAGAGACAGCGCAGCGAGTGGGCTGCTACTTACACAGATTTGAAGTCGGCGTAGGAGCCCGGTGGTTTCAGGATGTCTTTGATGGCGATGATGTTGTCGTGTTTGAAATGTTTGAGGATTTTGAGCTCGCGCAGTGTACGTTTGGCGTTGGTCACCACATCGAAGGCATTCGGGATCTTCTTGATCGCCACTTGGTGACCTGCAGGGGCAGACAGAGAGGGGGCAATCACCCTTACAGCAGAAAGGCAGGAGGGGGGGGCAACAGTGGGGAAGGGAGGGGGCAGAGAATTAGAGACAGAGTGTGAGAGGGAAATGGTGGGGGTGGGGGGCAGGAAGAGAGAGAGGTGAGGGATGGATAGAGGGAAATGGAGAAACTGTGTAGAGGGATGGGCACCACTGGGGGATGTTTAACTCTATTTTATTACTTTTTGCTTGAGAGCTGTCCCTGTCCCTGGGAGTGTGTGATGGGGGGGAGACGGTGTAGAGGAAGCTTTACCCTGTATCTAACCCTGTGCTGTCCCTGTCCTGGGAGTGTTCGATGGGGGGCACAGTGTAGAGGGAGCTTTACCCTGTATCTAACCCAATGCTGTCCCTGTCCTGGGAGTCTGTGATGGGGTCGACGGTGTAGAGGGAGCTTTACCCTGTATCTAACCCTGTGCTGTCCCTGTCCTGGGAGTGTTTGATGGCGGGGACAGTGTAGAGGGAGCTTTATCCTGTTTCTAACCCTGTGCTGTCCTGGGGAGTGTCTGATGGGGTGAAGAGAGACAGGGGGACAGCAGAGAGGGATGGAGGGTGGAGCGGAATGGCTGACGGGGGATTAGAAATGGGAGACAGTGCCCTCCCAACTCACAGGGAATTGCTCTCGGTGACCGTTTCCCCCCCCCCACTCCCCACTGAGCCGCACCGACCTGTGTGTTTGTGCCGTGCCGAGGACACCACTCCATAGGCTCCTGTACCGATGGTCTCGATGATCTCGTACTCATCCCCCACGTCGAAGGTGACGTCCATCGAGCGAGCTTTCAGGAAGGCCAGGTTCCTGGCTGTAGCTGCACAACTCCGTATGGCCTCCATCTTCGAACGCTCCTCCTCAACACTGTCATCGGCCAT